AGGGACACCACATTCCTCCCCTGACACTCCCCAGGATGCACACTCTCCGTTCCTTCCTTATGATCAGGGCAGAGGTTGGGGATCTGGTCCTGGGGCACCTGGATCACCTCTGGCCCTCCCTGGGGGAGGGAGGGTGCTGGAGAAGAGGAGGAGGGAGGTGTTGTCAACCCTTGGGCTGTTTTCTGAGAAGGCTGAAGTCCCTGGAGCCCACCCTGATGGCCCTCTCTGTTCTGGGAATGGCCTGAAGCAGTGTCCTGAAACTGTTATTGCTTCAGAAACCAGGCCTTTGGGGGTTTGCTTTTGCAGAGGTGGGGGGAGGTGCTGGCGCTAGGGGGATGGTTGTCACAGAGCTTCAGACACCAGCTCTACTTGCCACACCCTGTGGATTAGTATTTACTCTGAGGAAGAGGCCACTGCTTATAATTGTGTTACAGAGGAGGAAACTGAGGTACAGAGAAGTGTAGTAATTTGCTCTAGGTCATGAAACCTGCAGGGACAGTCACTGGGTTTAAACCAGGGATGCTGGGCTTAGTGAGCCCTGCTGCCCTGTGGTGGGGGTGGGGTGGGGTGGGGCATGGCAGGACTTAAACTAGGGTTAAGGTGAGGATTTGGCTGGCACAGAAGGATGCCACAGGCAGAGATAGGCCTACCTTGCGTGCAGCCTGCCAGTGACTAAGGGAGCTAGTGCAGTGGATTAAGTGTTGGGCAGTTCGGGAGAAAGATGAGGCAATCTTGTTTCATAAAGATTTGCAGCGGAGCAGTTCTGCTCTGTCCTGTAGGGTCACTATGGGTTGGAATTGACTGGACAGCAGTGGATAGTGGTTCGTTGGATGAGGCTGCAGTAGGGAGAGGCCCACCCTCTCTTTTCTCGCTTCTGCTCAGAAATTGTGTGTTGACAAGGGCACACTGATTGGCAAGGTCCTTTGCTACAGAAGAAGCTTTGGTTTTCTATCCTACTAAAGTCCATGGGTGGTGCAGATGGTTAAGCACTCAACTACTGACTGAAAGGTTGATGGTTCAAGTCCACCAAGAGGTGCCTCGGAGTAAAGGACTGACGATCTACTTCTAAAAGTGTACAGCCATGAAAACCCTATGGAGTACGGGGTCTCCATGAGTGGGGATTAACTAGAAGACAGCTGGTTTGGTAGTTGTGGTTTTTAGGGTTTAGGTTTTAGTTGAGCAGTCTGCGCCTCCACCTGTGTCTTCTCACTGAAGGTTATAGGCAGCTCCTGAGTACTTGCTCTGTTGGGTGCTTTGCATGAGATAGAATCCTGTCCTTAGTAGCTCTCAGTATTAAGAGCATGCCCAGCGGAGGGGGGGGGGGCACATTTATGAGGTGGGAGAGGGGGAGTGATACTGAGGACAGTCCAGGCTGGGGTTGGCTGAGAGAGTGGGATTCCTCCTCCAGAGGGCCTCTTCTGGTCTTGCCACATATGCCTGCAGGCCAGATCAAGGCATCTTCCCTTATTTGGCCATTGAGTCAACCCATTTTACCAAACACAGCTACTCCCTGCCAGACTCTGCATTGGGTGCCTGAGGCTTTGGGTGCTGGTTTGTCTAAAACACAGTCACTATTCTTGTAAGGTGCAGAAGATACCAAATGTTGCTGAGTGCTGTCGGGTCGATTCCTACCCATAGCGACCCTGTATAGGGTTCCCAAGGAGCAGCTGATGAGCTTGAACCGCCAACCTTGCAGTTCAAACGGCTTTGCAGTCTGGCACATTAACCCATAGCACCACACCAGGACTCCTAGGGTAATTTTCCTAAAAACAGTGACCCTGGGGTTGAGACCTGGGCTGGGTGTGCTGGGTGGGAGACGGGATTGCTATTGGTGTAGGAGATGGCCTGGGCAAAAGCCGCTCTTGAATTCTGGTCTCTGAGAACAGTGGGGTGGAGGGGAAAGACAGAGGGGGCTCTGCATGCATGGGGTCAGAATGATTTGTGCAGAGAAATCCCGGGAGCCTTAGTTCACCGGCTGCTGGTTAAGCATTTCACGTAGGAAGTCTCCTGGGTGACGGAGGATCTTGTGAACATTGGGTCTTGCCTTTCCTTGGTAGGAGAGATGTGGCTGGAATGGCCTCTGTGCAAGGTAGGAAGGGAACTTGGAACCCCTGAGCTTGGCCATTTGTCATGTGCTCTGAGAAGGTGACTGGAGCAGGTAAAGTGAGCAGTGACTACTTTCCAAGGGTCAGGCTTCCTGGGATAAAGCCCAGCATTCTAGGACTGAGTGGCTGCCCTTTTATGACTGACCCCAGTGTGAGTTGGGGCAGTTCCTTACTTATTCCCTGGTATTTATAAAATCAACTCTTCCTAATATTGTCCTACAGTATCCAGTCCCATTTACATTTCCCACTACCCTCCAGATATCTTCTTGATAGGTGGTTTGTTAGGACCTCTCTCTTCTTGCAGTTGATGTGTTGGTTAAAAACAGGTCAGTTGTTTCATAAGATAGCCTGCCCTCTTGGTCTCCTACATATGTTAATCTAAAATTAGGGTTGGCAAACTTTTTCTACTGAAGGGCCAAATAGTAAATATTTTAGACTTTGTGTAGGTTATATGGTGGTGTCTGTTGCAACTAGCCTGCTGCACAGTAATTTTGTTTTAGCAAAAAGCAGCCAGAGACAATACGTAAACAAATGAATGCGACTGTGTTCCGATAAAACTATTAAAAAGAAACAGCAGGTGGCAGACTAAAGAGTGCCATCAGTATTCTAGAACAAACCCCTCTCTGCACCACCACCCCCCACTTTATTTTTCTTCTTGCAATTTGATACAAATATCAGGTTGGTTACCACATAGAATATTCTACCTCTTGGGTTTGTCTCATTGCTTTCTCAGAGTCATTTAATTTGTTTAATGCCCATCATATTTCTGGTAAACAGGACTTTGAAGCTTGAAGCCTGATTAGATTGAGGTTGAACATTTTTGGTCTGAGTCCCTGTCAGGCATGCTGTGACTCCGTTGTGCACCACTGGCGGGAGGAGACATCGGTGTGTCAGGTGGCCCCACTACCTATGAGCTGAGATTGATCAGACCTTACTGATCCCTCCACTATGAACTTGTTTCCCCACTGGCACTCCAGGTCATCTGTGGCTTAGCATTCCCAAAGTCCCAGTTGGCCTCAGTATTTGCCTTTTCAGGAATGATAAACTAGAATGACTTTGCATTTGGTCATTCCTTTGTTATTTGGTAGCAAGAATGCTGGGAAGAAGGACTATCCCTCACTTACCAGGGTGATGTGGTTCTAGGAGAGGCCAAGTGACATGATGTTGTTGTTGTTGTTGTTAGGTGCCGTTGAGTCCATTCTGACCCATAGTGGCTCTATGCACAACAGAACGAAACAGTGCCTGGTCCTGTACCACCTTCACAATCATGACACTGAACCCATTTCTGCTGCTACTGTGCCATTCCATCTCAGTGGAGGTCTGCCTCTTTTTCGCTCACCCTCCACTTTACCAAGTATGATGTCCTTCTCCAGGGACTGGTCTCTCTTGTCTGAAGTATGAGTGACGAAGGACGAAGTCTCGCCAGCTGGCTTTTAAGGGGCATTCTGGTTGTACGTCTTCTAACACAGATTTGTTCGTTTGGCAGTCCATGGTACTTTCATATTCTTCTCCAGCACTGTCACTCAAATGCATTGATTCATCAATGGTCTTCTGTATTCATTGTCCAATTTTCACATTCATATGAGGCTATTGAAAATACCATGGATTGGGTCATGTGTACCTTAGTTCTCAAACTGACAGCTTTGCTCTTGAACACTTTAAAGAGGTCTTATGCAGCAGAATTGCCTAATGCAATATGTTGTTTGATTTCTTGACTGCTGCTTCCATGAACGTTGAAAGTGGATCCAAACAAAATGACGTTTTTGACAACTTCAATCTTTTCTCCATTTATCATATTATTTATTGGCCCAGTGGTTGCGTTTTTTTGTTTTCTTTACATTGAGGTACAACCCATATTGAAGGCTATGGTCTTCGATCTTTCTCAGTAAATATTTTAAATCTTCCTCACTTTCAGCAAGCAAGGCTGTATCATCTGTATATCGCTGGTTGTTAATGAGTTTTCCTCCAATCCTGATGCCATGTTTTTCGTTTAGTCCAGTTTCTCGGCATGCAGAATCTTTCATCTTTAATCACTGGTTTTCAGAGTGGAGAGTTAGGCCATTGCTATCATCAGTGGTGACAAATGAGGCTTTGGGTTTGTTTGTTTTGCTTTCTCTCCTTTTTTTCTTTTAAAGAATCACTGTGAATGCTCTGATTTCATGTATTCCATCTGTTTCCATCATTTGCACTTGCTCTTCTGACATTCAGATGGTCCCAGCTCAGCTCACACAGGTCTCTCGGGGCCCCTACCACAGCCTCTGCGTGGAGACGTCTGTTCTGTATCTGGTCCTGGTTGCTAGGAAGGCAAGTGCCAAGATCATGGTGGTGTAGCTTGTGCGGTCCCACATTTGTGGCCCTCTCCTCCATCTCTCCTGAGTCTGACCTGCTGCACTTATCTTTGTGACCTGAAGGATGTGACCTCTGCCCTCAGAATGGTACAGCCTGGGTGTCTGGGCTGGGCCAACCCTTTGGGTCCTCAGAGCCAGAAATGGCCTCTGAAAAGCATCAATAAAGTCCCCTCCTGTGCAGATTGGGGCACAGAAGTCCTATGCTGGCCCTTTGGGACCCAGCACAGAGTGACTGGCTCTGGTCACTGTTGATGGCATCAGGTGGGGGGTAAGAGCTCTTGGTGAATTCTGGGGCCACGTTGGAGAAGTGGAGGGGGCAGAGATCATGGGTGCTGGAGGGGGTGGGCTGCTGAGAACAGTAGAGTCTTTCCTAAGGGGAGGCCCTCAGCTCTCCCCTAGCCATACTCAGTGGGTGACTGTGACCTCTGCCTTCCTTTGTCCTCCATCTTCAGGCTCCAGGTGTCCCTGGAGGATGGGAGGCTGCTGAGTGTAAGCAGCGGTGTCGGACAGGAGCTGCGTGTCTTGTCCTGTGGCAGGGAGGGTGTCCATGGCTGCAGCCAACAAAGGTGAGTGTCATGGCCTGGCAGGGATTTGCATGTGGGGCCTGTATCAGCTCTGTGTGTGTGTCTGAATGTGAGGATGAGTGTGCCATGTGCCACTACGGCTGACTCAAGGTACACAGGCACACCCCTGATGGCTCCGTGATGCACTGGCTTATGGAGGTGCGTGTCCTCATGTCCTCTGTGCTGCTGTAGGGATGTGGGGGACCTATGGGGCCTGAGGTTAGTTTTGAGGCTGGCAGTGTGGGCCAGGCAACTGCTGGCTGTGGATTCCATTCAGGAGTCCAGAATAAGATTTGAGCTTCAGCTGTGCGGGGTTTAGCAGATTATGGAACTGCCAGGCTGGCACCCTGGGTCCAAGAACCCAAGCTGCAATCAGCCCAGGCCCTCCTTCCTAAAGGACTGTGGGCAGGGCTCTTGGGCAAGCCTAGGGCTCAGGGACCACCCAGGCCCAGTCCCCCATCCTGGACTCTGCCCAGCTCTCCTTTGCTCTTCCTGGCCTTGGAGAAGCTGACCTAGCTCAGGGACAGCCTAGGTCCTTGATATGGAGCGTAAGCAAAAGGGTCTTCCTTGGGAAGAGGGGTCTGGGAGGCTCTCTCAGGTCCTTCCTCTGTACTTGTTAGTGATTGGTGATGTGTGGTGTAGGGTCAGCTGCTGTCTCCTAGGTGGGCGTGTATGTGCTTTGACTGCCTTTTTTCTCACCCCAAAGCAGGTCCCATAAAGCTTGGTTTCCCTCTGCCCTCATCCCTGAGATTGGGGTCATCAGGAGAGGCAGGCAGGGGGCTCACATGTGCAGACAGACTGGGGAGAAAGTCCCATTGGAACTGAGAGATAGAGCACTGGGCTGGGATCCAGAGACCTGGGGCGAGTCCCAGCATGTTTGGGGGTTAGTGGGCACTTGGAGGACTGTCCTCTGGCTTTGGATTCATCCTCTCTAAGTTAAGGGTCATATTAACCAATCCCTGAACTCCCTTCTTCCCGCTCTTAGGATGAGCATCTTTGGTGGGAGGACTGGGCAGGTTTAAGGTTGAGGTTCCCAAGTCTCAAGATCCTCAGGGCTCCAGAGAGAAGCCCAAGCAATGGATGATATCAAGGGAAGTAGGGGGTGGAGGGGGAGTAGTTTCTGGGGGACAGGGGAAGCCAGTGACCCCTGGAGTACTTTCCCACACTCCTAGGCAACAAGTCCAGAGTCCGGAGTATCCGCTTTGCAGCAAGCCATGATGCAGAAGGCTCCCACAGCCACGTCCACTTTGATGAGAAACTGCATGATTCAGTGGTCATGGTCACCCAGGAGAGCGACAGCAGCTTTCTTGTCAAGGTATGTGCACATCTCCCCCCATCACCTATCCCCTACCTCTCCTGGATCTGCCTTGTTCCCCTAGGCCTTTCTGTCCCATTTTCTCTAGGCTGGATCCATAGGCACATCCTTGGTCTTCCCTGGGACTTGGTTTCCCCATCTCCAAAGTGGGTGGATTTAATGTTTCTAAGAAATGAGAGCATTTAGAATGCTACTCAGATTGGAGCAACAGAAATAAAAGGCAGGCCTCCAGGGTGCTGGTCCAGACCTGCCAGTCTATCTCTGTGACCTTGGGCAAGTAGCCTCAGTTTCCTCTTCTGTAAAGTGGAGTTGCTGTGAGAATGAAATGGAAGAGATGCATGTGAAGAAAAGATGTGATTACTTGAGCATTATGATGATAATGACTTGTGACTTTATTTACCCTCTTTGCCAAATCGCTGTGGGGTATTTATCACTCCTGAGTTTTCTGCTTAATGAAGCAGTCATTTCTCATGGCCTCACCTCAACACACCCGCCAGTATGGCTCCTCCAACTTCTGGGACATTGTCAGAGGGAGTCTGTGGCAGGGATGGTTTGGGGGGTAAGGGTCCATCGGTAAAGCACAGGCCCAGAGTGGAGCAGAATGCTCTGGGGGAGGGAAGGTGGGTTTGCTATCCAGCCTGGAAAGGAGCCCCAGGTTTGTACTCATTTCTGTCCAACTCTGAAATCCTTGCTCTTTATCCTACAGCTGACAACTTCCCCAACGGAATAGATGGAATGAACCAGATCTCTTAAAAATAGCTCCCCTTTCCAATGTGAAATCCATTCATGTTTATTAGAATTTGGAACTCACAGAAAAATGTAAAGAACCCACAATCACACTATCTAGAAATAACTGGCTAATATTTTGATGTGTGTCATGCCAGCCATTTTCCAATGCATGTACCAGAACTGTGTATGTTTTAAAAAGCAAAAACCGGTCTCCCAGTGCATACACTACGTTTGGCTTGCTTCTGGTGTGAGCCATCTCCCATCTGTGTCAGTGCATAAATTTCCATGAGATTTTACAACTGCCTGGTATTTCATTATACGTATCCTCACTGATTTTTGTAGGTTCCCTATTGCTCGGTGCTACGGTTGCTTCTATTTTTCTGTTTTATATAAATAGGGCAGCGATGAGTGCATGTTTCTGTATATTTCCCTGGGAAGATTCTGCCAGTGGTGTAGCTGGGTTCTAGATAAGACGTACTTAGCAGGTACAAATAGAAGTCTGCTTGAAAGGTACACCTTCTGCCAGCGGAGTGAAGAGGGTCACATGGGCAGAGTCCTAGCCCCTGAAATGGGCAGGACAGGAGTGTGTGTGTGCACATGGGAGTCTGCGAACTAACTCTCCCCCATCAACCTCCCCACACAGCAGGCACCCTGGGCTCGTTACCCTTCACATGACTGAGGTTTCTAAGGACAATATCTGTCCTAGAGGTCATCAGTTGCCAAGCATTGTCTACGAGCAGGAGCAATTGCTTGGGTTACGAGTAGGGGCTGTTGGGCACAGTGAGCCTTTGAGTGGGTGGGCAGACATCCGTATTCAGGTGCCAACAGGGCAGGAAGGAGCCTGGGTTGATTGTGGGTGCCAGGGCCTTGGGCCAGCTAGTATTTTTCCATCTCATCCTTTATCCAATGCTGTCTGTATTGCCTGGTATCTCTATGTGTGTGACTGGAGGACCAGTGTCCCTGACTCTGGGCTGTCAGCTGTGGCAGGTGAATAACCTGTGTCATGGGACTTTGAGCAGTGGCTGGTGCCTTGCTGTGTGCCAAGAGATCTAGGGAGGACTCAACCCTGTCATTTGGTGCAGCTGCTAGCCAGTCATTTCCTAGCTTCTGGTTTTTCATCTCTAAAATGGGCCCCTGAGGAGCTGGCTGCTAAGGAGTGTGCTGACCCAGCTGTGGGGATGAAACTTGTCCTGTCAACAAGGGCCCTGGAGCCACTGAGCTGAGAGGGTATGGGCTAGTTGGGGTGATGAAGGAAATAGCTCCCTTGAACTTCACAAGGATTGTAGGTGGCATGACATGGACAGGCCCCAGAGAAGGCAGCAAGTGAAAATGCCTCCCTTCACCGCCCTCCTGTGCAGGTGGGCTTCCTGAAGATCCAGCATAGATACGAGATTACCTTCACCCTGCCTCCAGTGCACAGGCTGAGCAAGGATGTCCGTGAGGTACCTGTCCCCAGCCTGCACCTCAAGCTTCTCAGCATCATGCCCATCCCAGAAGGTATGATCCCTCCCTTGGGTGCTAGAATCATGCCTTTCTCCAGCAGGGTTGGGATGGGGTAGGTGGGAGTAAGAATGTGGGGCACACCCCTTGCTGCTCTCCACTAGTGACTGGGCAGCTCAGCAGGGGACATGGTACCTCTTTGTGGCCTCATAGTATGGCATCGTGGCAGGCTCTGTGCCCAGGCCTACCTCACTTGGACAGTTATCAAAGGCTCACACTGTAACTCTCCTCTGTCCTGCTGTGCTGGGTGATGGGAATACTGAACAGGTGGCATTGGTTTCCAACCTGCCCCTAAAGACACACCTGCTGAAGCCTAGAGACTTTGGGCAGCTAACTCCTAACAACTGTCAGCCCTGTGCCTTGGGCTTGGGGCAGTTTCCACATACCCTGTGAGCCTTGATCTTGTCTGGCAGAGGTTAGGTGTCAGCTTGGCAGTATGCTACCACAAGCAGCCCAGCTTCTGTTTCACATCCCCTGCCTCTACCTCCACTTTGTCCTTGTCCTTCAGTAGATGGAAAAAAACTCCTTAGGCTTTTGCCTGTGCTGCCTGATACACTCAAGGCTTGCCTAAGAACAAGGCCTTCCTACTAGAAACCTGAGTTTGGTCTGTTCACCGTTGGAGCCATTCTTTAATGGCATGTGGAACAGTTGAGGAATGGGAAGTTTCCCAGACCTGTGTGTATGTTGGTGTGTTGGTTTCTGGGGTTTCCAAGGGATGCTGGAGATTGAGGCCTGTCTTGGTGTTGGCAGGGGTGGGAAGCTGAGGGAGGTGCTGATTGTTGCCCTCCATCCTGGGCAGGTTACAGTGTCAAGTGTGAGTACTCAGCGCACAAGGAGGGCGTCCTTAAGGAAGAGATGCTGCTGGCATGTGAGGGCGGCATCGGGACCTGCGTGCGTGTGACAGTGCAGGCACGCGTCATGGGTGAGTGGGTGTCTGGCGGACCTAGGGGATGTGTAGGGCTGCAGGAGGGAAATGTCAAGCTTTGTGAGAGGTGCTTCTTCTGCCCTCCTCCAGGGGAGCCCAATTCAAAAATGGGATCCTGGCCCAGACCCCGGGTCCCAAACATATTTAGTGGATTCCACCCTAACCAAACCATGTGGGAAAGGGGGCGGAGTATCCCCAGTGGGCTGGGCGGGTAGGTGGGGCCAAGGGCACAGCAGGGTGACCTGCCTCCTCCTGTTCTGGTTCTGTAGACCGGCACCACGGAACACCCATGCTGCTGGACGGTGTCAAGTGTGTGGGTGCCGAGCTGGAATATGACTCGGAGCACAGCGACTGGCATGGCTTTGACTGAGGCCATGCCACCCACCTGCCACGAGGCCCCTCAGCCTTAAATCCCACCTCGTCTCCCCGATGTGCTGCGTGATGGTGTGGCTTCCTTATCCCTCCCCAGGATGGACGTGGGGGCAGAGTATCCAGGGGTCTCCAAGCGGGGGTCCAGCTCAGGCTCTCACCTCTGCTTTCATCCGTGCCACTGCCCTGCCTCGTCCAAGGCCTCCTTTCCCACTTCCTCCTCTCCATGTGCCTCAGTCTCCTGCTGGAAGAGATGGATTGAGCCCCCCGTGGAGGCTATCTGAGGAGAGGAGGGAGAGGGCCAGGGGTGGGTTTTTCCCATCCCCACCCCAAGCCATAGGGACTCCAGCCAGGGATGGGGAGGGGAGAGAGCTGACACTGGGATGCCTTCCCCCTATTATTGCTGCTGCTGTCTTGCTTTAACCGCCTCTCCATGGTGAGTGGGAGGGAGGTGCAGCCCCCTACACCCCAGGTCTCTATTTCTTGTTTTTTAAACTACTGGTTGGAATAAAACCCTGAAGAATCAAAACTCAGAGTGGATACCAGAGACCAGCTGGACTTTTGTTTTCCAGGGACCTGAGAATACCCATCCTTCATAAGTGGGACTAGGAAAAGAATTGAGTAAACTTGTTTAAGGAGGTGAGAGTGCTGTGTGGCATTACAGCATCTATCTTCAAGGGAGGTATCGCACAGGTGGTGGCATGCCTGGTCTGGGGGAGATAATTGCCAAGAAGATTAGAGTATTTAGATTAGTTCCAAGCCAATGTTGTTGGTAGGTGCTGTTGAATCTGGTTAGATTCCTAGTGATCCCATGTGACAGAGTAGAACTGCCCCATCTTACAGATCATCAGGCTTGTCTTCTGCAGAATCACTGAGCAGACCTGGGACACCAACCTTCCACTTAGCAGCTGAACTGAACTCATGTATCACCAGGATTGAGAGGTCTTACCTCTCAATGTGTTCATTGTGCTCAGCTCCCAGCCCTGAACTTTCTCCTTTGTTTCTAGAACCCAGGCCCTTCTGCCACTGGGCTCCCTAACCATGTGGCATTACCTTGAGTATAAATGCTTTATTGTCACCTTATGGCTCTCGGGCAGGTGTCACAGCTGGAGGGAGGTATTTGACATTTCACACTTGGGGAAACAGGCCTGATACCACATTATGTTGATGGAAGAGCTGGGACCAGCTCCCTCCCAGTGCCCCTTATGTCTTGCCTACCTGAATTTTCCTTCCATGTTTGGGGTGAGGTGCAAGTGAGTTATTTGCAGGCTGGCCCTTAAAGCCTTGCCATATGGGTCACTTGTCCTGAAGGCTCCCTAATACACTCCCCTACATCCCTCATCACCCTAATGTATCCCTCCTCTCATTAGCCAATGACTACCTTTTCCGTACCACCTCCAGGAAGGCCCTACCACCTTGGCCCTCTAATGTCTGCTTTCAGTCACTTTCCTGCCACACAGGGTTGCTCTGTAGGGCTTCCAATAAGGGCTGATTCCATTAGGGAACTCTGGTCCCTTAAGCCGGGGTTAGGGGGACCATCTGCTGGTCCTGTCTGCCTTCCAGGTCACACAGTCCCTGGTAGGTTGCTTGTTCCTGCAGGGCTTGGGAGCGCCCTTTTGCAAACCCTATCTAGTCCTTTACTTGCTCCAGATCTTGGCCCAGCTTCAGGTCTTCCAGTTAGCAGACCAGGGCCCCACCCCAAATCAGTGTCTCTGGATGTGTCCTCACCCACCCTCTGTGACCTCATATCCCCTGGGCTCTGGGCGGGGGATGGGGTGCTTCGCTGATCACTGAACAAGCAGATTTGGCTGCCCAGCCCACTCCACAGAGACCAAAGAGACGGCGGGCAGGGCAGAGCACTAGGTGGGCGATGCCACTTGGCGCCCTGTGCGCCCTCAGTTGGAAAGAAAGTCAATGGCGGCTCGCACAGAGCGGTTGGTGCTGACATCGACTGCGGTGACCTTAATCTCAGTGTCGCCAAACTGCATGGCGGCGCGTATCTCGCGGCGTCCAGGGTGTGCGCCAGCAGGGTCGGAGCCACTGACTGTTGGCTCCAGCTCGAGACTGAGCGCGCCGCACTTGCGCACTCCCGGGTCGGTGATGAAGCGGGCGTCCTCAGCTGTGCAACAGTACAGGTTGATGAGCACACGCCGCTGGCCTGGGCGCGCCGGGCAGTAGCTGCGCCGCACCTCCTCACCCAAGGCCACCGACTGCTCAACGGCCACGAAACGCTCGAAGACGTCGGTGCACCAGCGACGACCATCACGAACCAGTAGCTTGTCAGGCGGGTGACGCCCATCTACAAAGCGGTTGAGTACACCCACACCGTAGGTGAGCGGCGAGCGGCGCACCCGCACCACGCCTGGTGCCTGCCCAAAGAGCACGGCACCCTTGAGAATGGTGAGGCCCACATCATGCGGGACGACGACGCGCAGACCACGGGCGCCCAGGGCCGCCTGCACTGCATGTTGCAGCACAGGAGACTCAGCGAAGCCGCCCACCAGGAACAGCAACTTCACACCTTGCACCTCAGGCTGAGCCAGTAGTACCTCTGTGGATGGAGAATTGGGGAGGGAACTGGAGACCAGAGAGCGCTTGAGGCCCCCCACTGTGGGACTACTGGCTCCCCCTCTCACCCCACCACAGTCCAGCTTCCCAAGGGATGGAAATGCACCATCCTGCCAACTTGTTTGTTGTAAAGTGCTCCTACTCAGTGATGCTGTCTAGGGTTTCTAAGGAGCGGCTGGTGGGTTGGATTCATCAACCTTACAGTTAACAGCCCAGTGCTTATTCTGTAGCGCCATCTAGAAACTAGCAGTTTCAACTCTTAAAACAACAACCTGGTTCTGATGGACAAAATGAGAGCTTTCATTTGGGGTCATTAGCAATTTCCCTGGTGTGGCACTGTAGGATAAGCATTGGATTACTAACTGCAAGGTCGACAGCACTTAACCATAGAAGCAACAATCCTCATGTGCCCTGCCTTCCCGAAACTGCCTCCACCCCCAACCCCTTTTGTCTCCCACCACAATGTGGGGGATATGGTAAAGATGTAAATTTCCATGTATGAAACGCCTACTGCATTCAAGATGGGCTCACTGTAGATCATTCAGCTCACTTACTCTTTGATAACATTTTGGCGAACTCAATACTACCAATCCACCAGCCACCTGATGCCCTTTAACTTGGCAAAACCACACCTCCTGGATTATAATCACTGTGGGCAGTGTGTCCCGCAGGTGTTTCCGATGACTCTGGATATCATCCCTGTGTACCGTATGTTTGTGGAGACTCAGGCACTCACCAATGTGCTGGATGATCCCGCTGACAGTAGGTTGGAAGAGCTCGTTCATGGCCTCACAGGACATCCGAAGCATCCCCTGCGAGGACCACTTCACGAAATTCACACTGTGGGCCGTGAATGGGGCAAAGGCTCAAGGATGGACCCCCTGCCCACGCACGTTCCTGAGTCCCTATTCCTGTCTTCAGGGAGATGTGTCTGGGTAGTGCAAGGAGTGACCAGCTGCACCCAGAACTTTATCCCCACTCTCCCAGGGGCTTTGGCATATAGATGGAAGTGTGTGGGCCCTTTCTGGGGGATGGGAGCAGGAGGTGGGTCAAGTGTTTTAGCCAGCTTTCAACCCTGTACTCCGGAGCTTTCAAGACATGGGGAGTGGAATCGATCAAGTGGATACCATTGCCTTCTGGGGTCTATGACCATCCCCACAAACCCTGCCTGAGCCTGCGGTACCCAGGCTCACCTGCTCCTGCGAAGGGCTGTCTCCACATTGTGGCCTCGCTGCTTGCGGTAGAAGTCGATGAAGGAGAAGGGCAGGGAGATGTTGAGCGCGCCTGCACGGTGCGGACCAGCAGTGCGTTTTCGAGCCTCAAAGGCGATGGTTAGGTCCACCCAGGCCGCGGGCCGTTGCCTTTTGAAAGTGGTGATGAAATCTTCGCCAAAGATGCGGCCCAGCAGCTGTTCAAAGGCCAGGTCGACGCCCACTGCACCATAGGGGCCGCCTGGTGCAGGGCAGAGGACAGGAGTGTTAGCGCCGACCTGGCCGCCAGGGGGCGTTAGCAGGGTGGGGACGCGGCCTGGAGACACACCTGACGCCTTGTAGAGTTCCTTGAGGGTGCCATGAGGCTGCTCCAGTTGGTGCACCGTCAAGTCCACAGTGCCTCCCCCGCAGTCTGCCACCATGTAGCGATCTCCTGAGGTACAAGTACGGGCACTCATACTCGGGGATATGCTTCTGCTTCGCTCAGCGCCTGTCTCGCCCCCTCAGCTCTGCACCCCTTAGGGCTCACCAATCTCCAACCCTGCCCCAGGTACCCAACCCCAAATCCCTGCCTGTGGGAGGGGGCAGAGGGAATTTTAGCTGCTTAAACCTCAGGTCACCGGAGAACAGATACAGTATGTGTACATGAGTCGGGGAGGTGGGACCACACGGTTCCAGGGACTCGGCAACTTGGCTCTAGTGTCCACGGACCATCTCCAGGAGTGGAACTAGGGGTGTGGCTGTGGGTGCAGTGCAGGTGAGTGTGTGAGGATGCTAGGTTAGAGACACTGGAGGGAGGAAAGAGAGGGGATTGCAGAGATTGGGGAAGTTTCCCCAAATGTGCCATTACCCCATCCCTAAGTGGTGAGTTGCCCCACCAAAAAAAGTTGTCATCCAGACGATTCATAGCGGCCCTATAGGACAAAGTATAACTGCTCCATAGTTTCTGAGGGTGAAAATCTTTCTAGAAGCAGGCTGACTCATCTTTCTCCCAAAGGGGGGCTGGTGGGTTCCAACTGTTCTGTTAGCAGGCCAACCACACTACCCACCGCACCACCAGGGTTCCTGGGTTGCCTCACAGGAGCCAGGAACTAGCTTTCCATTCTCTCCACCCACCTGCTTGCAACTCTGCCCACAGCTCTCCGACACCAGATTCCACCAGGAATGTACGGCTGTGGCGGGATCTCCGAAGCTGCTCGCGGGCTGGGGATTGGGAGGCATTGGGAGAATGAGGTGACATGGGGAGGGGATGCTTCCAGTTCCCTAAATGAGCCCCTGGAACAGCCAGTGCTCCTGAGACCCCTGCCCCATCACTAACAGAGACAGCAATGCGGAACCCAAGAGGATGCAGAAGAAAAATCCTTGTGGTGGGAGTGCAGGCCCTAAAGGGTTCCAGGGGAGCTCCCTGTCACAAGAGATGGTATCTGAGAGGGTGGCTAAGGTTGGCCACAGCTGTCCTTGGCCTCAGCACCTGGACCTGAGAACAGGAACCTGGTAACTGTGTCTTCATGGAGGGGGTGGTAATGGGGGCAGGTGATGCAGTGACTATTTGAGGAAATGGACTAAAAAGTGTTCCTGAAAACCCACCTCTCACTTAAACTCAGAGTGGGAGCTTTGTCCATATCAGTGTGTCCACCACGCTATTGGGGCAGGCTTTGTCTCCCCCTTTCCCTCAAATGCTACTTCCTCAGGGCTGAGCTGGATCCTACCCCCTCAGATCATCCTCCCCAAGAGCAAGGTGAAATCTCTGCTTTCAGGACTGGGCTCCTTCAGGGATGTGTGTCCCTCACACAAGGATTCCCTGAGCAGAGCTGTGCTTTCCCCACCCAGACTGGACTCCCTCAAGCATATTTCTACCCCTCAGATTGGGCTTCTCCAGGTGGGGGCTCACACCCTTCACTCTGGACATGGCTGTGTTCCAGCCTCGGGGATTCTCTGATCCTCCAAAGGTTAACTGCCTTCAAGTCCAGGCTCACCCTGCCTGAAGCTGGAGTCAATGGAGCGACGCTCCCCCAGGCGCCCGCCCCTAGGGGCCAGGCCACTCAGGTCCACGAGCTGGTGCAGACGAAGTTTGCGGCAGTAGACTGAGGCAGCCTCGGGCTCCAGTGCAATGAGTAACTGCTCAGCATTCTCTCGGGACACCAGGCCAGCCTAGGGATGGGAGGTTGGCAGGGCCAGGTAGTAAGGATACTAAGATGGCACCCAGTGGGGAAGCAGTGCCCCCTCCCCACCCCACCTGCCCAGACTAAGCCTCCCAGACCCCTCCATACTAAAGTTTTGGAGTTGCCTCACACCTACCCTGTGACCTAGGTAGTCTGAGGATAGTCTCCAGGAGAGACCCCAGACTAGACACCTGGAACTGCCCCTGTGAACAGCTGAAGGAAGCAGGGCTGTAGGTGTAATGGCGGTTCAATCAGAGATCTGGGGCCCCCTTTGGCTCACAAAACCCTCTTTCGCCACCAGGCTGGTGTTGGACGGTAGCCACAGGCCTCCCCACTCCCAGGAGAACACTGTAGGAAATATGTCATTGTTTAGTGCTGTCAAGTCAGTTCCGACTCATAGCGACCCTGTATAGGGCTTCTGAGGAGTGACTGGTGAGTTTGAACTGCTAAATCAACCTTGTAGTTGAGTGCTTATCCTACAGCATCACACCAGAAAATGTGGTAAAGAAAGAAATCCAGGCGCCAAGACAGGCCAGCCTGGGGGATAAAACCAACTGGAATCTCTTGTTATTTCCTGCACCCAGTCAGGGGATCCCCATGGGAAGTACTTTATTGCTTTGTGGGATTTCTCTGATTTTGACCAGGTCAGGGATGGATGTGGGTGGGTACTGAGACTTCCTGCTCAGGATTAGCCCTTCCAGAGCTAGCTAGCAGCAGGGAGCAGTGTGGGAGGAAGCAAGGTGGGTGGATAGGCAAGGGGGCAGTGGGGTAGGAGGTGTTTGTTCTGACTGTAGACAGTCTTACTCTCATCCTGATCCCAAATGGCTTAGGAGTAAGCTACTCCCAGTGACAAGCATAGGTACCTGCAGACCTGATTCATGGGGCATACTTGGCCCACAGATGTGTGGGTGTGTGGGTTGCTGGGGGTCTGATATCCTCCAGAGGGTGTCTACAGGCAGGTCTGAAGGCTCTTTTGGAGACCCTAGGGCCTGACCTGTTTCCCAAAGCCACAAGGGCAGGTCCGGAGTCTTGCTCTGGGATGCCATGTCCCTCCTCTAGGCTCCCTCCCCAGCTTTATCCAGACTTTTGAGCATCTCTTGTGGTAGGAAGACCAGTAAATGTTGGCCAGAATAACCTTCCTTCATAGTTTCATAGTCCTATTTCCCCTGCTTAAGACCTCCAGTGGGGGTAGGGTGTCCCTGAAAGTACTCGTGCTGACTGCTACTGGCTTACAGCTGTCCCCTTCTCTGCCCTTAGCTGAATGGGAACCATCTCACGTTTCCCTCCTTCTTCTCCAGTAGCTAATGACAGATTGATATTGGACTATAAATTCTTGCTCCAGAGCTTCCCATGGGGTCAGGCGAAACTAGATTCCAGCTGAGATCACATCCCTACTGAGCTCTTCCTTCTGTCCTGATCTGCTTGCTTCCCTCTTTCCCTGTTCTCCCAAGAGAGCCCTCCCTCAGTAGACCACGTAGACACAAATCCCCCATCTTGGGTAATAGGAACCTGACTTAAGATACTAGGTTTGCTGGTTTGTGAATCTGCCCTCTGTTCCTACAGGTCCACCCCCTGTCCTGGTAGCACAACTCCTAAAATTCCCAGTAGGGGAAGTCTGGAGAGCTTTACACAATGACTCTGTGGTCCCAAGGGTGGCAAAGTGGATAGAGGTATGGTCATCCTTGGGGTTTCCCTAAACAACTTTCTGTTTGGCCTGCATGTTCTCACCAGATAGGCAGCCTCTCGCATGAACTGCTTGGCCGGTTGCTTCCAGATGGCGGGTACCGTCAGCACCCAGCGCACAGTGTCCTTCTCTGGCATCGACGGGCACTGCTCCCTCAACTCCTGGAGCGAGAAGAAGGGGTAAAAGGATGGCACATGGCTGGGAGGAGGAATTAATCCAACCCAGGAGTCCTGATGTGGCGCTGTGGGTTAATGCACCAGACGGCAAAGCCGTTTGAACTGCAAGGTCAGCGGTTCAAGCCTTGGAAACCCTATACAGGGTCGCTATAGATCAGAATCGACTCGACGACACTTAACAACAATAACAAGAAGGACTCAGAATACCCACCCCCACCGCACATACACACCTGTTAGGCCTGATGCGTGGTCTACACACAGAAAGGCAGAGAATTAGAGAATATGTCTGGCAGAGGCTACCATCGGATGGACCAAAGGGATAATGGCAGCAGGGAGTGAGAGGAAAGGAAGGGAAGAGAAGTGTCCCATCGTAGGCTGGTAGGTGTACGGGCACATTGCACCTGAAGGGCATGCTCCTTGAAGAATCGCAGGGCGTGGGCGAACACCTCCAGGGCGGGCATTTTCTTTCCATTTACAGCCTCCAGCTGTGTCTTCAAGGTGAGATCCTGTCAAGGGCACAGGGCAGCTCTACTCTTGTTTGCATTTCATCAAGACCCTTCTATTTTTTTTAATTTTTTATTGTGAATTGAGTGATGGTTTGCAGAGCGGATTATCAAAGATCCTTTTCTTAAAATAACCTATCTCCTAATGATTTCAGTCCTCTTTAGCACCATTCCCAATTCTGGTCCCAATTTCACACAAGCTCAGCTCCTTAGCCCCGCCTCTCCTCTTTGCTCCGCCCTCGCCTTCCGCTCCGTGAGGTCCGCTCACACTCAAGTCTCTCGTCTCACCTGTTAGCTTTGCGCCCACCTCCACTAGCCCCGCCCTTACCCCTTCTGGCTCTGCCTCCCCTGGCTGGAGCCCTGCAGTGAACAACTAACTGCAAAGGAACTCACAGTGGCGCTGTGGATCTTCATCTTGAACTTTTCGAAGTAAAGCCAGTCTCGAGCCTCTTCGGGATCCAAATCGTGGTAGTAGTCGCGGGCTGTGTAGCCAAAGCTGTGAAAGGCGCCTTCCGGGGTGAGCAGCAGGCAGGTAGGGGTCTTTTGGTGGGCTACGCCCGGGTCTCCGCCCTCCCATTTCCTGCGAAGGTATGGTGGTCGGTGAGTGGGAAATGCGGTAACCACCTTTTATGAGGTAGGAGGCGGGGCTGGCTTTGGGACCAGCTGTATGATCTTGGGCAAGTCTCTTAGCCTCCCTGAGCCTCAGTCTTCTCATCTGTAAACTATATGGTATCTGTTTCTTAGGGTTCTTGTGAAGAGCAAATGTAGGAACATGGTGCCTGGCACCCACTTCTATCGCCATAAATGTTGCCCATGGATCCTCCCCGTTCATGGGAGTCGCAGGTACCACCCGGCATCCTCAGCTTCTGCTGGGATCGCATCTGCACCTTCAGCATCATCATCAGCAAACCAGCATCCATTTTCCCCACTCCAGGCACCCTAGCATGAGCGCTCTTCTTTCCAGGGAGGTTTGCCTCCTCCAGGCTGTTTCCTACAGCTAGGTCCCTTCAAGGTCTTTCATGACCAATCCCATCGGCACCTCTGGCAGGCCCCAATAAACCTAAATGAGATTTTTAATCTGACTTGAAAGTATTTAACAAGTCCGCAGGTGGCAGATATGGACCTCTATCCATTTTCCTGGCAAATCTTTTCCCCACTTCCTCTTCCTCCTCTGATGCCCCCACCTTTCCCATTGAACTTGAGGTCCAAGCTCCCCGCAGCAGGCTTTTGATTAGAGAGAGAGAAATCTAGGTAGAGGGAACAGCATAGTGAAAGAGCTGGGGGAACTATCTATTCACTGGTTCAACATATAGCAGGTGAACATACCAGGATGCGAAGGTCAGATGATAAAAGGGCACTAGATGCCACAGGGGTGTGAAGATGCATCATTGCATTTGCCTTTAGAAAAGCTGCTGATCCCCATGTAACCAGAATGGAGATGAGGGACGGTGAAGGCAGGGAGGATGCTGCTGTAACTATTTAGATAAAAGAGGGTAGGGGCTGAATGAAGGCTTGGTGTTCACCATGGAGATATGTGGATGATATCCCAGAGACATTAGGAAGACAGAAATGATAGAGCTTGGTGGAGGATGAGGGTGGAAGGTGAGGGTTTAGGAGGAGGTCAGAACCTCCTCCAGTTGCTCGTGACAGGACGCCACAATACAGACAGTGTCCCTTCATGTATCCTTGACCATAGTACAGGGCTGAGTAGACAGTAGTGCTTAGCCATGCATGCTGAATAATGTGCCAGCTGGGATGCCCTGCAGCTCCTAGAGGGATGTTAAGTGCCCAGAGCCTTTGTGGCCACTTGTGGATGTGAAGCAAAAAAAAAGAAAGGGAAGCCCAGGCTGGTGCAGCTCAAGTACCTTTTATCTTTGAGGCAGTGACTCTTCTGTCATGTCTCCATCTACCCTTCCATCCAGGCCCTAGGAAAACCCCTATATCCCCCATCTCAGTCTGAGTTGGAAGCTTTGAAGTCTTCTACTATAGCTCCCCCCACTGACTGAAACCCCACCAAAGACAAACATCTCTTTCATAAAAACTGATTTGTCAACTCAGTTAGCCCTCCAGATCTTCTTTTCCTTGTTGTTCATTTGAGATTAAAACTTTTTTCCCCCATTGTGTTTTCAGTGAACATGTACACAGCAAATTAATTTCTCATTTGACAATTTCTATACAAATTGTCCAGTGACATTAGTTAATTTTTCACAGTGTGTCAACATTCTCTTTAACTGCTATTTGGTTGTCCTGTTCCCAGTACTCCAGTTTCCCTAACCCCTTATCTTTTCATCTTTGCTTTAGAGTGATTGTTAACCATTTGGTCTCATGTAGATGTTTTATTTTACTGGAGCACTGTACTCATGGGTGCTATTGTTATTAAGTGCTGTCGAGCCACCTCCGATTCGTAGCAACCCCATATAGGGTTTCCAAGGAGCACCTGGTGGGTTTACACTGCCAACCTTATGGCTTGCAGTCCACTGCTGATCCTACAGTGCCACATCAGGAGTCCATAATAGTACTCATGGGTAATACCCTTGATTTTGTATACCAATTTGTTATTTCACCAAAAGGAGACCTCAGGGGAGAGTTTTAGTTCAAGATTTAAAGAGTATCTCAGCGTGATAGTTTGAGGGAGTCTACTAGTCTCAACTGGCCCAGTCATTCTGGATATTTGAGTTCTGTTCCACAATTTTCTCCCATTCTAACAGGGCCCATATATTGTGGCTCTGATTAGAATACTCAGTAATGGTATTAGTGTAGATGAGGCCGAGACTCGTGCATGTTATTAACTCTCTGTAGACTAGTTTCTTCTCTGAGACTTTGGTTTCCTCCTTTCTGTCTTGTTCCTAACAAATAGAGACCAGTAGTTGTATCTTAGATGAGGTCGGGCATATTCAAGGTGGTATAGCTGTAGACTGATAGTTGTGTCTTAGATGTTGTTGTTGTTAAGTGCCATTGAGTGGGTTCCGACCCATAGTGACCCTGTATAGGGTTTCCAAGGAGCAGCTGGTAGCTGCTTGTAAATTTTTAAGACGCCAGATGCTATGCTACTACTCACCTCACTAGGATGCAGAACATGAATCTTAGGGTACCAACTGACTGAGTTGTCCCATGAAATGAACGTCCTAAACCTTCCAACCCAGAAAACCATTCTTGCAAGGTGTTTGGTTATGTCTGGGAAGTCATTTGAGATACTGACTTAAGGATCCACCTCTAAGAATCTCCTATAGAAACCTGAGTACAAATTTTCAAAGAAGGGTATTCACTGCAGCACTTTTTGTAATAGTAAAAAATTATCGGGGACGGGGGGACCGCTAAGACTCTCAGTAGGGGACTGGCTAAATTTGACATATCTGTATAGTGGAATACTATGTAGCTATTATAGGAAGTGGTAGCTCTGCATATATTGACATGAAACATCTACAAAACAGTGTTGAGAGTTTCAAATAAAGCAAACTGTATGGTATCTCACTTTTATTTAAAAAACATATATGCTTCTGCATGTTTGTCTAAGCCCAGAAAAAGATTTCTGTATTTTACTGTGTGTTTAATATATCTCAATAAAAATGTGAAAATAAAAACAAAGTCTGATATTTCCTGCAGAGGGTAGGGAGCTGTTCCAAATGAATCATGGACCCTCAGATTGGGCTGTAAGGGGCTCTAAAGAAATCTTATGTCTCCACAGTAACTGTATTTCTGGGACCTCTTCTCCCCCTCCCAGCCTCCCAGTCCAGTCACCCTCACCTCATCATGTGGATGGCCTCAGGGTCACTGGCAAAGCTGAAGGCATAGCCACTGGACGTGGTGCCAAAGTCAATGGCCACCACCACGGAGAAGAGAGCCTGCTGTGGGACTCGGGCCTCAGGCTTCTGCAAGGGCAGGACCTGGAGTCAGCAAGCAGCAGCCAACAGAGCCAGCTGACTGCCCTTGGGAGCCAGCTCCTCTCTGTGAACTGAACCCAGCCCAGCCCTGGTCCACACCCACCTGCCTGCCTGCTTGGGTCCCCTTCCCTCCCTGACTCTCAGCTGAACCCTGATGATGCCAGCTGCTCAGAAAATCCCAAGGGCTCTCAGGTCACCCTGTGCAGTTTCTGGCTCAAGTCTTGGCTTTCCTGCCTATCCTCTACTCACACTGTAGCTCCTGCCTGAACTGCCTTTACCCCACCCTCATCTCCCACCACCTTCCAGCCTGCCACTAGCTGGAGCCCAGCTGGGAGCAATTTTATTCCTCTGGGCAGCCTTGTAGCTCCTGAGCTCGTGTAGATTTCACCCCCTTGATCTGTGGTCACAGTGACACAAGCCAGACTGGACGATTTTGTGGCAGAGAGGAGATGCTCAGAGTGGCCCCTGCCTTCTCGTAGGCCAGGTTTGGGCTCCTTGAGAACACAGGGTCTCCAAGCTAGATCACCAGGGCAGTGATGGGGTGGCTCAATGAGCGTGAGTCTTAGATACTTCTGGCTAGTAATTTCCAAACTCTTTTTAAGCCATGTTTTCTCTCCCTTCCCTTGGATTAAGGTAGGGCTGTAGTTGACAAGGGTGGGGTAGGAGTACTCTGGGAGGCCTAGAAACATTTCATACTCATAGATACACCTGCCCCAGCTAGGCTGGCTGCAAAGGCCTGGGTATCATCTGGAGCTCACCTGCTCAGTAGAATTGTCACCCCATACAATCCATAGGCACCCAAGGCCATGCTTGCTGGAGGGTCCATGACTGGAGTGTGCCAGGGCAGTAGGCCTCCCCCAAGTCCTTCCTCCTTCCCAGCCCAGGCCTTGCCAGAGCTCTGCCAGGCACCACGCCTTGCTCCCTGGAGGCACAACACCCACCTACATCCCCAGGCCACCCACCACACCATCCCTGCAAAACCTTACTGGAGACTGTGAGGGTGTGAGGGGGGCAATGCCACAGCTTTCCTGGGTCCTTGGGGAGCCGGGTGGGCTGGACACTGGAGATCGCTCTGGGCTGGAGCCTAAGAAGAGAGGGCAGGTCACCCGGGCATCATTGAGGAGGGCGTTGGTGGCCCTGCCCAGCCCTGGCACTAAGTTCTCCAGCAGGTCCTGCTGAGCCAAGGCAAGGGGTGGGGAAGGTAGAAAGGACATGATGGGGAGTGGGGGAGGGATGTAGGAGGTGAGGTCTGTGTGACTGCTGGGACCCCAGACTCAGGCTTGAGTCTTGGCCCCATAGATGTGCTAACAATGCGAGGCAAAGTGTTTGGGGGAATTACGAGTCTTGCCAAGGAAATGTCTAGTCCACTGTGGGTTTCATAAATAGGCTTGGGTCCTGTTAGAGGCAGCTCTCCCTTCAGTACCCTTCAGACACACAGTGTGGGAGGAGAGCGACATAGAATGCACTGTGATTAGGGAGACTGAGGCCAGAGATGGAAGAGCAGGAGGGATGGGGCAGGTAAGGTCTTAGGTGGATGAAGAAGTCAGAAAACATGGGAGAACTATAAACCTAACTGGGTGAAGGATAACTAGTGGGCCAGATTTGGGATTCCTCCCCTCCCTGATAAGAGTTTGGCTCCATGGTTCCAATCAGGACTTGAGGGAGCTGCCCTCTTCCCCTCCTCCTTGCAAAGGCCACAGACAGGTCCAGCTGGCTGTTTGGAAAGGATGAAGAGGGGGAGGGCCTCACCTCCTGCACCCCGTCCCTGAGTTGGGGAAAATCCACAAGGCTAGGAAGTCTGATTCCCCAACCCTCACAGCCAGGATTTGGCTTAGCTTCCTGGCCCACTGAAATCCTCCTGCAGGCCCAGGACTGAGTTCAACCTTTGATGGACATTGAGCAGTCCCGGGAAGGCAGCTGCAAGCCTAGTCACAGAGCACGAGGCTGGTTGGACGTTCTCCAGGTGTGAGCTGGTGGTTGGTCACCATTCCACTGGCTCTGCTATAGCCCGTGTGAAGGGCTCTAGGGTGTACAGAAATCTGTGGAGGAGGACTGGGAGGCTGGCCAGGGAAGCCAAGTGGACATATCACACATCTGCCTGACTCCTGTCTGATGCTGTCTGGTACTAGGTAAGTCCAAGCCCTCTCTGGCATGGTGTGTCCTGGGAACATACGGGAGAGACTGAGCACAAGGAGAACTCTGGGAAATGAACAGACAAGGCTGAAGCCTGTCTTGAGATGCCAGAAGAGGAGGGACATACACAGCGGTCATATTCGAGGGCACCCTTTCCTTAGGCAGCTAGCTCAGGTTTAGGCTCTGCCATGAGCTCCAGCTTGAGGGCCCAAGTTACTGTAGTTTGAGCCTGGGAAGGGAGGCAGGAAGGAAGGGCCCAGCCCACCAGGTCTTTGTGAGTGGACTTCCTGAGGAGTGTCCCTCCCCCTCCTGCAGAGAACTCAGCATCTACTCCCAGACCAGAATTCTACATGCACATACCTACCTGCTGATACACACTCTCACACAAGGCCCTGTGCACAGAGACCTACCCGCAGGTAGACAAACAAACAACATACACACATACTCATACAAGCTCATGTGCACACAGACTCTGCACAACACATACACACACAGCCCTATGCACACAAGCCCTCTCTGCGCGCACACACACACACACACACACACATACACACACACTCTTATACACAGGGAACTTTATGAATACAGACCTGCTTTGAGCACACATATACACATATACACACATTCATATACCCACCAGTCCTATGCACATAGACCCTCCATTCACACACATATATACACACACAGAAGGGCTCTGTGAACACAAATCTGCCCTGTGCATATACACATATACTCACATACACAGTCTGTGTGCACAGAACATAGACATGTGGCAAGGGTAACACAGCCCTGTGTATATACACATACACACCTGTGCACACAGAGCCTCTCTGCACACACACTCTCAGAATCACTCTCAGGACCTCTGCTGAGAGAGACCCATGGGAACAGATTAGGAGATGGGGCTCAGTGCCAAGTGAGTGAGTGGGGTGGTGGGGGGTCAGGGCAGAGCAATAGGGGGTCTTACCAATGTACAGCCCCTGCAGGCCCGTCTCCGGTACAGCCAGCATCCTTGCAGACCCTGAAGCTGTGAACAGGAACCGACAAAAAGACCATATTTATTTGTTCCTTTGTTCTCTCACTGAATGTTTATTTACTTTAATTACTTACTTTTGGCTGGAGTCCTTAGAGCAAATCCCAGACACCATGTTGTTTCACCTATAAATTCTTGAATATGATTTCCAACACAAAGGCTTTCAAAACAACATTACCACAGCAGCACTATCATGTGTAACAGAATTAACAGTAACTCTTTCATGTCAGCCAATGCTTGGTCTCCCTACCTTCCCCAACATATCTCAACTCCCACCTCAGAGAGGCAATAGCTTGGTGGAAGAGGCCAGTCACAGCCAGACAACCAAGATTACAAACGATGCTGAGGGTTGTGGAGAGCACAGTGGGATGTAAGCAGGCAGAAGAGAGCCTAGCCCCAGGTAAGACTTCAGGAAAGGACAGGCTGGGCACACCCTCTATGCAAACCCTTGAGAGCCTATTGTAGATTTGGTTTTATATGAAATGTCACAGCAAATCTTGAAAGGGTTTAAGTGGCAGAGTGGGGATGGGGACATGACTTAAGGAGAGGACTGCAAGGAGGCAATATGGAAACAGAGGACCCAGTCAGGCCACTGTAGTCATCTACGCAAGATGAATAAAACACTGCCTGGTCCTGGGCTGATTTTTGGAAGTAGATTGCCAGGCCTTTCTTCCTAGTCTATCTTAGTCTGGAAGTTCCACTGAAACCTGCTCAGCATCATAGCAACACCAAGGCCTCCATGGACTGTACATGAGGTATACTGGCAGAAATTGGACTCGAGTCTTCTTAATGAAAGGTTAGAATTCTAGCATGAATTTCCTCAAAGACATTTCAGGGATTGTTCCAAGTTAAAATCAACAGGACTGATGGAAGCTAGCTGGATTTGATATGGGGGCTAAGGAATAAAAGAGTGTCAAAAGTGACACTGTCCAGCTTAACCTACTGAAGATTCAGTGAGTTGGTAGGCGGAAAGGGAAGAATTTTGGGTGTGGCTTTGATACTGCTAAGAGAACATACCAAGTAGCCAGATGACATGATCTGGAGGGCAAGGACAATTCTGGAAATGTACATGGAAAGTGTCATGGAAAGCTGGGGAGAGAGAAAAGTGGGGGAAGGGAGGAGAACAGAGCTATGCTTAAAGGCGAACCAGAGGACTCAACAAGCTTAAGATGTTTCCTGTGGCTTCATGAAGGTCAAGGTAAGAGAATGGTATCAAGCTACGTGTCTTTGACAGGTCAAGTTAGATAAGACTGGAGGCACCCGTTGTTTTACTGGCTCAAAGCAGGCATTGCTGTGGAATGGTGGCGATGGGGTAGCAAGTACCACGGGGGTTTTAAAAAGTTTGTGGGAAAACAGAATACAAATGATAATGGAATTTTACTACAAACTTTTGAAGCTCCCATGAAGGTAAGGAAGGAGCTCTGGTAGTGCTGTAGGATAAGCACTGGACTGCTAATTACAAGGTCAGCAGTTCAAATGTACCAGTGGCTCCGTGGGATAAAGATGAGGCTTTCTAGTCTGTATTTCCTATGAGTTGCTGTAAGTCAGAATTGACTTGCTGGCAGTGGTAGTAGGTGAGGAGTGAGCAGAAAGTGAGAGAAAAGAGAGCAATTCTGAGACTTGTGGCTGAGATTAGGAGCAAATGTGAGGGCAGTAGGTGTAGGGAGATACAGGTTGAAGGAGGTGAGGATGTGAAGTAGGTGAGGAAATTGAACTTGTGCCTGTGAAGTTCTGGGAATCAGGCAGCATCCCTCAAGCGATCAACAACCTATTATCAATGCAGTCTCAAGATTAGCTGCACTGGGAACTTGTTAGAAATGCTGAATCCCCAACCTGAATCAGAATTTGTATATTAACAAGATCTGGGTGATGCAGATTTATACTTGTACATTAAAATTTAACAAGTGTTGCTTAACTGCATAAGGAGCCCTGGTGGTACTGTAGGATAAGCACTGGATTTCTAACTGCAAGGCCAGTTCTAACCCACCGGCCACTCCACAGGAGAATGATAAGGCTTTCTGCTCCCATAAAGATTTATAGCCTCAAAAACTATACGCAGGGTCACTAAAGCATCAGAATCTATTGGATGATAGTAGATGGTCGGTTCAACTGTATGCATTGAGCTAGCCTTCAGATCACTGATGTTATTGATCTCAGCTAAGAGTGGACAGTCCACTCTCTCTCTGTAACCAATGGTCTGATCAAGGTGTTTTGCAAATGGAACATAAGACACCCCCCGCTGGGCACTGGCATATCCACAAACACACATATACACAACCTAACTCATGCACAGTTCACATAAACCCAGCCCCACAATGAGCAGACAACCTAGATGTCCACATACTCTTGTATGTCTAGGATACCCCTGTGTGATTGACAACATGGAAATTTCCAGAAACATTTAGTTCTGTTGTCATTGGAGATTAACAGATGCCCACAAATCAGAATTCTGGGTAAGATGTAGGCTCATTGTGGGAACTCATATAGCAGGTGGGTGATGCTGAGAAACAAAAAAAAAAAAAACCCACCCACTATTGCCACTGACTTGTTAAGTGCCATCGATTGGTTCCGACTCATAGGGACCCTGTATAGGGTTTCTGAGAAGCGGCTGGTGATAAAAGGTTTCTGCAACTGTAAACCTTTATAGGAGCAGACAACCTCATCTTTCTCCTTCAGAGCGACTGGTGGTTTCAAACTTCTGACTTTGTAGTTAACAGTCCAAAATGTAACCCACTAGAGAAAGGGAAAGCAAGTAGAGAGGGTGAGAATGGACCTGGGAAACCAACAAAAGGAAGCCAAAGGCTTGTGAGAGCTTATTTTGGTCATCTCTTCCTAGTTCTGCATTTGGGGACATAAAATTGTTAACTTAAAATCGCCAGTGTGGGAGTATTTACACCATGGAAATTGGCACGCACTACAAATCAGCCTGTTTTACATTCTGAGGTGTTGACTACAAAACGCCAGCATACCACTCAGTTAAGGCCACCAGGGAGGAGCAGGCTGCCTTATTTGTACATTGTTTCAATTCTTCAGCAAGCACTTGAGAATTTCTTTGTGCCAGCCTCTGTACTAAATGCTGAATGAATAAATGTTGTCATGGTGTCTGTGCATCCCCGCTCCCCACCCACCCCCACCCCCCACCGACCAAGGCTACTGTACCTTGAGGAGAAACAGTCTAGAAGCATGAAAGAGAGAAAAAACGACTATGGAAATACCTCTCTGAGCTGGATTTGGATTCCATGCCCAAACTGTATAACATATCTGGGCATGTGATACACTGTCCCTACATTGGGGGTCTTAGAGATAGCAAAGGACTATTGTAGCAACTGGCTTGAGTGCATCTCATCATCTTTGTACCTCAGTGTCCTTTCCTGAAAAATGGGTCACACAGGAAGGAGGGTTGTGAGAGCCAATCAGCCCAGGTGTGGAAGATGATTGATAAAGACAGGGAATTGGACAGATGTGAACAGCAGTTTCTACCTTCACGGTATGGATCTTGAATAGTTTCTGGTTGCAAGTGGTGTTTTTTTTTTTTTTTTTTTTTATCTTTGGGACTTTTATTCTAGTTATCCTGAGCTCTTTAGGGAGAGAGGCAGGATCTGACTGGGCTAAAGAAGGAGAATCTTGCTGGTTACTTGAAAGGTAGAGGTGGAAGGGGGGTAGAGGTGGAAGGGGTGGTAAAGCTTTGTGCCTCAGGATGCTCCCACCAGTGCACACTCCCCACAGACATTCAAAGAGAACGCTGACCAACCATGGGGATGAGGATGTCAGCTTCCCAAAGTTATGTCTGGTCAGAATCCAGGGTTAGAAACGAGGTGGGGGAGAGGGGGGAGGGGCACAGATCCTTACTCCAGGGGCTCACTTAATTCAAGACTGGTGAAGCTTATGGGTTTGAGAGAATTAGTGGGGCACATTTGATTAACACAGAAAGTATCTGTTTCCTAGTCACAAACACATGCCAAATGCTAGCCTCAGTCTGACCCATATCTTTCCCATAGACCCCAACTCTGCCCATGGACAGATCCCTCACTGCTCATGGGCTGATCCTTAACTTTTGGCCTCATTACTGTCCTCTAATCAATCTTCACCTTCCCTCTGATCCCTGACCCCGACTTTCACTCAATAGGCACAACCTATCAGCGAAGTGGTTAAGAGTCGGGCTGCCAACCTCAAGGTCAGCAGTTCGAAACTACCAGCGGTTCTGCGGGAGAAAAGAGTTACAGCTCCCGTAAAGATTTACAGCCTTGGAAACCCTGTACAGTGTCGCTATGAGTGGGAACCGACTCCACAGTACTTAACAACAACAACAACATCACTTATAGGGGACTAGGATAGAGTGTGGCTGAGTTAGGACTCACAACTGGAGATCTCATCTCAGAGTGTCCCCCAAACTCACAGAGGTCTAGGACTGTTTGCCTGATGGAAAGGTGCCTCTGAATTTCTTTCTGGGATGGGAGCATTTAGGCTAAATGTACTTAAACCCCTCCAAGCACTGGAAGTAGGTGGTGTTACTGGGTTTCAAACCTCCACACATGCCCATGAGGACAGAGAGCTCTTCTAGAAATTTATACCACCGCCTCCACCACCACCATCCCCCTTTGCGGGATTCTTTTCTCTTGGGTTCGTGCCTCTTCTATCCACTGCTCTCCGCTCAGCACCATTCAGAGGAATAGGATTCCATGCACAGGCAGTAAGGCCATAGGCATTTCTCCTAAACCACACATTGGGGCCAACCAAGGCCCAGGAGGCAGATCAGCAACAAGGGCTGCCCCACCCTCTCTTCTGGAAAGGTTTCCTCAAGGAGAGGGGTCCAACAAACAGGAGGCTGGAATGGGGATGCTGCCTCTTCCTGTGCTGGGGTGGGGGGGAACAGAAATGGCCTCCCATGGCCCATCCCTGCCCTCAACTTTCCTTTCCATACATCCTGCCCCACCCCCTTGGGTCCTCATCATGGGAGCAGCCAGTTCATAAACAACCTCTGTCCTCCA